TCAATAGCCAAATCAGAAAACATGAATTATATCCAAGATTTTAACGAGGCAACAAACAGTTTCCCAGTATGTATTGACAGAGTATATTTTAATAACAGTGGTGAACAGAAACCGAAAAGAAATCGCACAGCCTTTACCAAAGATCAACTAAAAGAATTAGAAAAGAATTATAAAATAAATAGAAAAATTTCTCAGAAAGATCGCAATGAATTGGCTTCAAAATTGGAATTACAAGAGCGAGTTATCAAAGTTTGGTTTCAGAACCAACGAATGAAAGAAAAGAACAAAAAACAATCTGATTCAAATGAACCATCGGGCCATGAGGATATTTTAGAACAAGAGGAACAGACTTTCCAACCACCAAACAACGGACAATTCTATACTGAAGTCATACTCAACAACTCATTAGAGGCCGAACAATTCGAAATTGATTCCATGATTATCGAGGAAATGGATATAGAAGTGGAAGTGGAGGCATTACATGAAGAACAAGAGATTCATCAAAGCAGTTCTTCGTATGAACAGAATTTCCAACCACCGAACAACGGACAATCCTCAGCAGACGATCAACTCAGCAACTCATCAGTGGAGGATCAATTTGATTTGGATTCATTCCTTGCGAATTTATGATCATCTGCTATTTGGTCGCCATCACATCATGCGGATGTTTTAGCAACGGATGCATCAAATAACACAGACCGGGCATGATTCGGAAAATTCAGGGTAATCTGCTATCTAATGCTGTAGGAAATAACTTTTCAGGTTAGCTATTTTAAATTACTTTTACCATGGAGTAATAATTGGGCTATATTATCAGCCGTATTAAGAGCAATTGGGGCATTAGTATTACAGATCAGACAAGAATCTCATTTAGTTCATTTTATCACAAGCAACCTGCAAATATTTCCATTGGTAAGTTATAGTAAAGAAGGTAAGAATGTACTTTTTTTAAAGAAAATTAATAAAAAGAAAGAAAAACAAAAACAAAGAATGTTTTAAATATTTTAAATGATTTTTTTTCTTCAAAAGGTCAAATATAGCGCCAACGAATTGAAAAGAGGTTTTTGAACGACATATCGACAGGGAAGAATAGCTGTCAACTTGTATTGTTTCATTTTGATGATTTTTAGGATTATCGGCACTAATTTATTATGCTTCTACGTGAAATGTAATATGCAAAGGAACTTTCACCTCAATGTGTTATTCCAATTATCGTTTGATGATCTATTGTTGTCTAAATAAAGTGGCTCTCATTAAAAATCACATAGATCACATTTTTCAAATCGAAACACTAAATTATAAGGGAAGCAAATGTGAGAATTAGAATAAGCTAGTTTTGCACAGAAAAGCGATTCCACTCAAAATTATATACACAAAAGCTTTATTTGGTGATAATCATAAAGAAAAAAAGACATAACAAAAACTGATTCGAAGGACATTTGAACATTATTTTTATAAACAAAAAAAAAATAAAAAAATTATTGTTGATTCGTAGTGATAGCATGTAAATTGCAAAGATAAGTTCGAAATGAAAAAAAAAATGGCATATATAGTAAGTACATGTTGAACTTTTGAATTATATCGTCCGAACTGACGTGATCGCGTAAAATTGCATTTGGAGTGATGGGGGTTCGAATGAGGCAATATGAGTGTAACAAAAGGGAAAGATGGAAACGGCGTGCATATCAAAAACGAAAGAAAAAAGAAGCAAGTAATCGAATTTGAGATGGAGTATTTATTTGACAGGTTTCTCTTTTATTAGTCTTATACGTTGTCGTCGTTGTTGTCATCGTTTTTTCCGTTCGTTCGTTCGTTTGTCGAATGCTATTTTGTAAGTGTCGACCACCATGCTCTTTTCAATCCAAAACAAAAGAAGACGAATCAAACTAAGAGGACCGAGAAGTACCAGTAAACGAATGAGATTCGCATAGTTTCATTCTATTAGTTTTTCATTCGTCCAATTCACTCTTATTTCTCTATTTCTTTCGAGCCACATTGCGACGTTATTTTCTATCTGTGAGAGAAAGGGAGATTCGCCTAGGTTTTTTTGTTATCGTCGTTGCCGTCGTTGGGCAATATCTCATTATTAATTTGATTTGTTCAAGTTTATACAAATTGATAAAGAGACTTACAGGAGTAAGACGAACTTTTCCGCACGGTGGTAGATGCGTATTCTACTAAGCTATATATATTCGGCATCGAAATATTCTTTAATTTAATAGCAGAAGTACTCGCAAAAGATTTTTCACACTATCATGATGAACTCATTTGTACGACATTTGAAATTATTCTATTTTCTAACAAAACACTATAAAAAATATGTCTGACGTTAATTTTGCCATAAACATTATTTTTGAAACACTTTTCATAACTAAAGTCACAAAAAATTTGGATTTTTGTATGGGAGCCATGTCTCTATGCTACCTTAATGGCGTGAAACTTTGTACAGGTTATTTTTTTCACAAAAAATAACATTCAGAGGGTTTGGAGAAATTTCAACCAAAATTAAGAGTACCTCCCATACAAAATATTCGTTTTTGAGCCAAAAATGTTGTATGGGAGGTACCCCTAATTTTGATTGAAATCTCTCAAACTTACAAAATGTTATTTTTTTGTGTAAAAAATATTCTGTGCAAAGTTTCACGTCATTAAGGTAGCATACAGACATGGCTCCCATACAAAAATTCAATTTTTTTGTGATTTTTTCAAGGAAATTGTATCAAAAATTGATTGTTTCTCAAAACTAACCTCGGATTCGGTTTTCTCGTGCCAAAAAATCCCCCAATACATATTTTTGAGTGTTTAATTCTACATTAAGTATGACTTTTTGACGAAAATTGGACTCTTTTTCATAGGTATCACTCCAGGCATGACATTTTTTTCCATCAACCAAAGTCGCTCAACGTACGACGTACAGATTAACAAAAACCATGTTTAAAAACGCCAAATTCGGGTTCTCTGACCTCAGAAACGTCCAGAAAACATGTTTCTGAAGTTTTCAAAATTTTGACCGATTACAATACTTTTCACCTTACACTATGTGTGCGGAAAAGTAAAAACAGTGGAGTTGATGGGCAGCCACCGAATTCAGGCCTGAGGGTGAACAGAATGCATTTGGTCGTCGTTGTGTACCAAAGATGCTTGTCACACAGAGCATCGACAAACAAATCGAAGCAAATAAGACGACGACAAACGACAAAAAATATCAAAAATTCAATTACAGCCAAACATATTACGGTAAAATTAACTGACAATTTGTGTCAAAAGAATGAATGTGAATTTCGAAAAATATCGCCCGGCCAACGACGGCACACAATAAATTCCATCGATGGAAACTGAATGAGCTGAGTGAAGAGAAAAATTTGAAATCGGGAATCTCTTTCTCACTCGCATTTCAATAAGTTGTCCGTGTGATATCGGAGCCGTTTGTAATGCTTTATTTGTTCGAAATGTGTCATGAGAAGACAAAAAGTGAGCGAGAAAGTTTTTTTCACGGCAAATAGATATCTTCGGAGATATTTCTTATGCTTTCGAACTAGCACATGAGATTCATAAAAATTTCCTCTAATAAAGAAAGTACAACCCAATGCGTACGCAATTGCCGGCTACTCCGCTGGGGGTATTTTAGCCCATGAAATAACAAAACAACTCATAAACAGTGGCTATCCTGTTTCATTTTTGGGTTTAATCGATACCGACCCACCTGCAAAAGTAAGCGAATTGAATGAAACGGAAACTGTCGCATGCCAGTAAATTATCTCTCAAAGATGCAATCGAAGAGATAAAAAAGAGGAATATAGATTTCGAAATTCCAGATATCGAATGGGACGTCTTGTTATTGAAACAACGTGAACATTATTTAAATATATGTCACGCACATAAGATCACTTCATTGCCGATTAAAGTAAACTTATTCAAGGCATCAGAATTTAGTTGTTTAGATAACAATGATAATGAGGGCTTGGATAGTTGGGAGAATTATGTTGAAACAGATTTCCACGTTATTCCTGTAAATGGCGATCATTTTACAATGATGTCAAAGGAACAAAAATAAGCCAGGAACTGATCTCAAAGTCAAGTTGAAGCCAGACATGCAAACTATATTGAAAACTACATCCTATCTATAAAAAGCACTTGTAATTTTATTCAAAGTAGTAAAGTAATGGAAGAAAATTTAAAGAAAGCACGCATAGATTGGACTTTGATACATAAACTTTAGACTTTGTACAGCATCCAACATTGCTATGTGCACTATTTTCCATATAAAATACATGCCGCTGCGTGCACGTAGCAATGTTGGATGCTGTACATAGATAAGAAATAGAGTTTGAACGTTAAGTGTTGAGTAGATGTCAATTGTTTAAAAGAAGAAACATAATTAGAAATAAATCAGATCACGTGCATGTGGCCTTTTATAGTGTATAACTATCCGCGCCCTGAATTTATGTATTTTATTTTCGTTAAAAACTAATTCATAAGTCAAAGAATTACTCATTCAACAAAATATGTTATAATTGTAAAATTTTTACACCATACATGGGCACAGGGAGGTGTAAGCCTGGATCTCTTAAATCGTCCGAGCTAACCCCCCTCGACGGCAGCCGAGAAATCTTCCGATTTGCTAGAGGATTTTTCACAGGAAAGTGAAGACCTTTTTTTTGCTTATCAACTTTAGAAATGGAAGAAAATCTTTAAAATTGCGAGGGTTTTCCGCGAAAAATTCTTTCAATTTGCTAGGGTTATTCGTCAAAAAAGTGATCTCCAAAAAAATGAAAAAACCCGTTTTGCTAAGGTATTTCGAGAGAAAAATTCTTTCGATTTTCTAGGGTTTTTGATTGGCCTTAAATTTTTTCTGTGCCCATGTAAATCTTACACGTGTGAAACCCGTCAACCATAAAATTAAACAAATTATACACACAATGAATAAACGTTTTCTTAATTTCTTCATTTTACGACACAGAAAAATTTGTTATATGAAAACATGATATCATCATTTTTCGGTAAAATTTTACAATTCATATGGTATTAATCAGCACCTGAGCTGGAAATTGGAATTCATAAAAAATATTTGCGAATAATTACTAATATATTGGTAGTGCAACTTAAAAATGTCGTTTTTTTGGTAAAAATAAAACTTTATTTCATAAATTCTGTAAATAACATGTCAAAGTATTGGCCATCGGAAGCTATAACCTTTTCCCATCTTTCTGGCAGCATATGGATTCCGCGCCAAAAGAACTGCTTATTTTTTGAGGTTAGGAAAGAATCGATCCAATTTTTGATACCTTCAATTGAAGTGAAGCGTATTCCAGACAAGGCATTCTGCATCGTTCGAAAAAAGTGATAGTCAGAAGGGGCAATGTCTGGGCTATACGGCGGGTGGGGCAAAACTTCCCATCCACTATTTTACTTTTCCGCACACACCTAGTGTGTAAGGTAAATCGGTATTGGAATCGGTCGAAAAATTAACACCCATCAAAAATGTGTTTTCTGGTTGTTTTTGGGGTCAGGGAACACGAATCTAGCATTTTTTCGATGTCCGAATGTATGTGCGTACCCTGTACGCAAAAATTTGTTAACACGATAACTTTCAAACAAGAAAAGTAATTCAAAATCTGACTTCACAGGATGGTTGGGGGTGCCGAGGAATAGAAACCATTAGATTTTGAGCGACTTTGGTTGATAGAGTGAAGTGTCATGTCTGGTGTGATGCCCATGGGCATCCATGGAAAAAATTCAATTTTTCCTCCAAAAGTGATATTTAATGTATTCCTAAACACTAAAAAATAAGAATTGGGGGGTTTTTGGGTACGAGAAAACCGAATATGACGTAAGTTTTGCGATACAAATAACTTTCGGCACACTTTTCATACAAAAATTTCCAAAAACATTGGATTTTTGTATGGAAGCCATGCCTGTATGATATCGTAATGAGCTGAAACTTTGCACAGGTTATTTTTTCACTTTAAAATAACATTCCGAGGGTTGGAAGAGATTTCAATGCATAAACGGTGTACCACCCGAACAAAATTTTGGATTTTTTGCTCAAAAAATACCACTCAATTGTATTGAAATTTCTTCAAACTTTCAGAATGTTAGCTTTTTGTGAAAAAAATAACATCTGCAAATTTTCGCATGATTACGATATCATACAGGCATTGAAAAGTCCAACAAAAATTATTTGTATCGCAAAACTTATATCAGATTCAGTTTTCTCATGAATTCATATTTACGGCAAAATGTACGTAATAAATGCATGTTGTGGATCACAGTGCGGAAAAGTTCATCTTACGGATGTAAGATATTTTATTCCAAATAGTTTTTAACCGGTTGAGCAATATGAGGCCGAGCGTTGTCATGATGGAAAATTATTGACTCATGTCCGGTCATATTCTGGCCGTTTTTCGTTCAATGCTCTATTTAAACGGATCAATTGTGTTCGATACAGGTCTCCCGTGATCGTTTCACCCGGTTTTAACAGCTCATAATAGAGAACACCCTTCTGATCCCACCAAATACAGAGCATTACCTTAGCACAATGAATATCTTGCTTGGGCGTTGATTTTGCTCGTTTACCGCGCTTCTCATACGATTTCTTACGCTTCAGGTTTTCGTAAAGAATCCATTTTTCATCACCAGTAACAATTCGATGCAAAAACGACTTCCTTTTGTGCGCTCAAACAGCATTTCGGACATGCAAAATCATCTTTCAACGTCTCTTGGTTTCAATTCATGTGGTACCCAATTTTCTTGCTTTTGAATGAATCCTAATGCTTTTAAACGTTTTGAAATAGCTCGGTGAGTCACTCCCAATGATTTTGCAGGTTTTTCTTGAGTTTGACACGAATCTTGATCGAGTAATACCTCCGATTCTTCATCTTCAAACTTTTTTGGCTGCCCAGGACGTTCTTTGTCTTCTGTGTCGAAATCACCACTTTTGAAGCGCGCAAACCAATGCTGACACATTCTAACGTCTACAGGGTCACTGTCAAAAAAATGGCGCGTATGATACATAAGAAGTTGATACAAATACGACATTTTTAAGTTGCACTACCAATAGGAAAATTACCAAATATATCGGCTTCCATGCGCCAAATGTATACACACAAACTGTAGTTTGTGTATTTAAGTATGTATGTTTATTTTTCATATAGAAACAAGTGTTTCGTGTTTAAAGTGACTCATTAAAAGACAAAAAGATATAGCGATTGTAACGTCAAATATTTCGCAATGAATAATAACCACGTAATTTCTCCTATAAATAAAGCCTCCTTTAATGAGAATTCATCAGTTGGACATCGATTTTGTGATCAGTTTTTCTCGAAATCGACTTTGTGACTAAATATGTTAAAAAGTAGTTGTATCATTTTGGTATTCCTTACAGTTTTTCTCTCGGGAAAAATTGAAGCAATGAAAAATAAAGACAGTTCAAAAAAGACTCTATTGAAAAATTATATAATAGATGTAGTAATACCTATTGGTATAAAAGATAAAGACAAGTTAGAAAATTGTGTAAACGGAATTTTAAGAAATTCTTTGAACTCTATAAATAAGGTGTATATTGTTGCAGAACACCTTAGTATACTTGAATCTCTTTCTTTGGATAACAAAAATAATAAAAAAATAGTTGGAATATCGGAGAAAATCTATCCGTTTTCTAAAGATGATATTAAAGAAGTTTTTATTAAGAACCAAGCCGATCGCAAACGTTCCTCTTGGTATTATCAGCAACTTCTGAAATTTTACATATTCGATGCTATACCAAATATTTGTGATAACGTGTTGATTTTAGATTCAGACTTTGTTTTTATCAAACCAATAGAATTTCTAAATTCCGAAGGAAAAGCTCTTCTATCGTATGGATATCCATTACAATATCGTAATGGCACATCCACATATTTCAGTCAAAGTATGAATCTAACGAAAATAATTCATGCAAAAAGTCTCATAAAAGACTGGGATATAATCAATTTATTTGACGGAATTCATCATCACATGCTCTTTAATAAGGATATTATGAAATCTCTTTTTAAGAATGTGGAAGAACACAATAAGGAACCTTTCTGGAAAGCATTTATCAATAAGTCATTTATTGATGAAGCGATATATGTGTCGGAATATTTGATATATTTTCATTTTGCGATTAAAAATTTTAAAAATAAGGTAGAAGCTAGACATCTTAATACGGTTGATATTTTATATGATTCTGAAGACACACTAACCTTGAATTTGGTTCATAAATTGCTTGATGATTTTATGAAAAATAAGGAACCAACAATAACAGGAATTGGATGTCATGGTGTTCTAAATTTGAAAGACTCTATAGAACGTTCAGATTCTATGGATGAAGAATTGAAAAAAACATTGCTACAAAATGAAAAGACATTTTACATTTTCAGATTAAATGAAGATGGAAAAGTATATGTGGAGTAAGTTTGTAGCGACACTGAAAATTGAACCGAAAAAACTAATTAGAAAAAGGCATACATAAGTAAATATAGTAGTTTATCGAAATAATTGTAATTAATCAGTTCAAAATTATTAAGCATTCTATAAAAAATGAAAAAAAGAAGAAAATGTAAAAAAATATTTTAAGATTAAATTTAAAGTTTTGATTAAGATCCTTTGGAATTGGCGAGATTGAACGAGAAATAAATTATATGCAAACCGATGCAAACATTTCCACAATTAAACGTAAATGTCTATCATATACATAGTCTTCAACATTGAAAAAATATTTTAAATTTCTTTTTAAATAATTATATAGATTGAATGAAGCATGTGTGTTCAGTCCACATGTGAAGTTTGCGTATGTAAAGTGCACTGCATTCATATATGATCAATTTCTTCCAGTATCAATTCAACGTGGTTCCTTCAATTGAAAACAGAAATGAAACTAACTTGGTTCTGATACTTTTGTCCATTTTTCTATTCGTTCAGGTATAAATTGAAAAAAAAAAGAACTCTTCACTTTACAGTTTCAAACATTTTCTTTTCCATTAAAATAAATTGATCTCTTTCAGAATGTACTTTCCGGTTGAGAAATGGAGAGTTTACATAATAATGCGACTAAATTGAAGATCAAGATGAAACCAAAACTTGATTTTTTATACAATTTCAATAAGACGGAATCAATCATTAAATACGCAATTTCTGCACGAGTGGGTCAAAATCCTAACACATTCGCCGATAAATACAATATATAAATACAATTTGGCACAACCAAATCTACTCAAAAATGAATGATGATCATTGTTTTCGACCATGAACTAATTAGTGGAGAAGTTTCAAGCTATTTGAATGAAAATAAAATACATTTGCATACAAAATTCTAGTTTTTCTTCAAATGGTGCTAAATGATGTCATTACGATAACTTGTTTGAGCATTTCATTTTATATTTAATGATGCAGTATTAGATTTACCTGTTGAAAAATCCCAAAAAAGGAAACGTCCCAAGAAAAACGACAACATCGCTCTATATAACGGAGAGAATACCCGAGTGGAAAAAAAGTGACTAAGTTACTATTGACTGTAAGTGACTATAGTTAGCTATATTCATGAATTTTAAAATTTTGTATGGAAAACAATCGACTATAGTTACTCAGTCAGTCAGGCGATTATTTTGGGACGTTTTGATTATCGGGTGACTATGATTATTGTCAACTATAGTTAGCTGTTGCAGGTAACCATAGCTTACTTTAATTGATTGAAGTTAACTAAATTTAACTAAGGTTGCTTGTTTTTACAGTCAATAGTCAGTCAGTTTGTCCCAAAATAGTCAGTCACTTTTTTTGTACACGGGTAATCACACAATGTGCCAATTTTCGGGAGAAATTCAGGCAATGAGTTCAGGTAAAAAGATATAAAAACAACTTATTGTTTACTCGCATATCGGAACGCGACTCAAAACGGTTGCATATAAAAGCGAGACAATATTTCGTTAACAAAGGAATAAAGAACATTGCATTTTTTCATACAAAGTGTGTATGTTTCGATTTGTTCTGATAACTGGCTACTTTTCTGCCTTGTTTTAGTAACAGAATTTTATTTCGCTTTGATATGCGACGCAGTTTAACGGTTCGCACTCTTGGAGGCTCGGTATAGAACACAAAAAAAGTGAAAAAAACTTCTTATTCTCAAATTTCATATGTCAAATAAATACCTCCATCTCAAATTCGATTACTTGCTTTTTTTCCTTCGTTTTTCGAACCCCCATCACTCCAAATGCAATTTTACGCGATCACGTCGGCTCGGACGATATAATTCAAAAGTTCAACATGTACTCACTATATATGTATGCCATTTTTTTTTCATTTCGAAATTATCTTTGCAATTTACACGCTATCACTATGAATCAACAATAAAAAAATTTATTTTTTTTTGTTTATAAAAATAATGTTCAAATGTCCTTCAAATCAGTTTTTGTTATGACTTTTTTTCTTTATGATTATCACCAAATAAAGCTTTTGTGTATATAATTTTGAGTGGAATCGCTTTTCTGTGCAAAACTAGCTTATTCTACATCATTATACGATAATTGGAATAACACATTGAGGTGAAAGTTCCTTTGCATATTACATTTAACGTAGAAGCATAATAAATTAGTGCCGATAATCCTAAAAATTATCAAAATGAAACAATACAAGTGACTGCTATTTTTCTCTGTCGTTGTGTCATTCAAAAACCTCTTTTTAATTTGTTGGCGCTATATTTGACCTTTTGAAGAAAAAAAATCATTTAAAATAATTAAAACATTCTTTGTTTTTGTTTTTCTTTCTTTTTATTAATTTTCTTTAAAAAAAGTACATTCTTACCTTCTTTACTATAACTTACCAATGGAAATATTTGCAGGTTGCTTGTGATAAAATGAACTAAATGAGATTCTTGTCTAATCTGTAATACTAATGCCCCAATTGCTCTTAATACGGCTGATAATATAGCCCAATTATTACTCCATGGTAAAAGTAATTTAAAATAGCTAACCTGAAAAGTTATTTCCTACATCATTAGATAGCAGATTACCCTGAATTTTCCGAATCATGCCCGGTCTGTGTTATTTGCTTAAACATCCGCATGATGTGATGGCGACCAAATAGCAGATATGACTCGAGTCAGTCATAAGCCCCTTGTTCGATTATTGAATGTAACGTTTTGAAATAATGAAAAGACCGCGTAAGATGGATCATTATAAACCACTTTACACTTCACGCCAAATGTCTTCTTTTGCCCTTTCCAATCTGTTCCATTCTCAGTTTCAAACGGATGCACCAACATATATATGTTGATGGTTATGGTTACTTTTATGAGCAACTATTGACTTATGTTCGAGTGGTGCTTCATTATGGACATCGATGATATTTCAAAAGACAGTCTTTCTACTTCAAGGGTGTAGTACACACAAAAAATTATGCGGTCAAATCAAATGATGATGCGGTTATTCAGTAGTGTGCGGTCAAATTTATACTCATTGCGGTCATATTTCCATCATTTTTATAATTTTGTGTTCTAGAATTGACCGCAATTTACCGCA